CAAAGGAATTATCAACTTTATTTGAAAACATCAGAGATACAGCGAAAGTCTTAATAGGGAAATGGGTGTTACCACCACACTCGGTTCTCACATAACCGAATGCACAGGCTAAACCACCATCCAAAAATAATCCTAGTATTTAAGTACTGAAAATTTCAAAAATAATTTAAATGTCTACATGTTCTCAAATTGAAATAAACAATAACTAGGTGATTATAAATACTAAACTACGTGATCTAACGCAGCTATCATCAACATGCATAACCTTAATCATCTGCACAATTAAAGTGCAGAAAACAAAACAAAGAAAAGGGAAACAAAAATTAGCTTTTTAGCTAAGTAAGGCCCACCCAACCCCGTAAAATAATCACGTTTGGCGAAAATAGTTTTATACATAACTATAACTTTAAAAATTCATTTTCTTCCCACAAAACTAATTTGGTGATTAAAATAATATTTATAAACTCTTAGTAACTCACACATTCATATACAAGTATCACTTTTCAAAATATAATTTATAGCTAATCACTCTTTTTAAATATACTCAATTGCTCTTTGAAAATAACCTCCATAGTCTTCCTCTTTCCAAAACCAAAATCTCCTACTTTCTTTTAAGATGGGCGGTACTTTCGGATACTTATGCCCGAAGCCCAATGAGTCGTTGTTATTTACGAACTCATCCCGGAATCCAGTTCCCATCACTATCTCTTGAATCGAAACGGCCACTAAACTTGTTCTCTTCGAGTAGTAGTAGCCTTAACCATCCTCCACATTTATCCGGATGTGAAAAACCGACATCACGGATTTCTCCCGGGGTGCTCACCTCTTATGAAAATGTTAATTTTCATCTTGAATCAAGATACACTTCAAAATATTTTCCAAACTCTCTAAATAGTCTAAAAGGTATTTAAAAGTATTTAATACCCCAAAAGTACATAGTTTGTATTTCTCAAATACTATAGATTTAATATCTCTTTAAATAACACATATACATAATTTACAATTCACACTTAATCACATAATGCATAATAAGCATATAATACGAGGAAACAATTTTGGATTGGCAGAGAAACTTACAATTTAGGGTTTATCCAAAACTAGTTCCAAAATAGTATTTAATACCATATTCAAAATAATCCAATAAGGATATTTATAACTCCAGAATATATATGTAAATTTTCATACCAAATTATACATTTAAAAATATATAATTTATCCCAAAAGATTTGATCCCACAACACTTTCCAAAAAGAGGGTTTAACCCAAACAACCACTTCCCAAAAGTAGCATTTACTACTACCACCAAAATAATCAAATTGGAGTATTCTGAACCCATAATATATTTTCAATATAACCAGTTATAATAGTCTCAAATCATTCTTCAACTCATACCAAAACAATCACCAAAATTTTCCAATCCCAAAAGAACAATCATCAAAAATCACAATTTTAGCTATGATAAACTGATTTGATAAATTCACCAAAAATCACACGTTCATAAATTCCCAGAAAATCATACATCATCATACCCATACTATTATAGCCGAATTATCCATAAAATTTCAAAAAGAAACTCAAATCATAGCACAAACCCTAGTTTATACAATATAGGGGCAAAATAGTAATTTTGGTTGCAATAGTCCTTACCTCGAGGCTAGCAACGAATCCTAAACGTAAAACCTAGTTTTATGGATCATTCGCACATACCTAGGCAGTGATAGGTTCGAAGGATCTCAATTTAGGAGAAAGAAATTTAGGAAACGGATGAACGACGCGAATTAGGCAACAAACGCACTTACCGGAATATTGGATTGTTTGATCTCATCATTGGCATAAACTTTTGTGCTGGATACGGGTTAGAGCTTGAAGAGGCGGTCCTAGGGTTCTTGGAATGAGGAAAATCGGATTAGGGATGTATTTATAGTGAATTTCCGAAGTTTGAGTTGCATTAGGATACAACAGGAACGCACGCGTGCGTACCTTTCACGCACGCCGTGCGTGACCCCCAGACGCCCCAAACCTTAGTTTTTGCCCCGTTTCTTCCCCATTTTGACCTCCCCTTTGTCCCAAACACTAAACCAAACATCATAAACGACCTAAAGACCGTGTAAACAATATGAAACACAATTTTAATTATTTCCCAAATTCTCTCAAATTTTCGGGGTATTACATCGTGACCCCCTCATCGTTGCGTACATTCATGACCAACGGATGAGGAGGGGGCCGAGAGAAAGGGACGATGTTCCCCTCAGCATGGGCTGGGGGCGGTACCAGAGTTCCGAAGGCTCCGGGATTCTAGGTGAGCGTGTGGATGAAGGCAGATAGGACCGATTGCATATCGGCGGTGCGGACCGGGGGGGCTCACCCGAATCTCACCCCGATCTTTCCTTTGGGCCTTGATGCCGAGGCAGGCATCGAGAACGCTCTCTTGGAGCTGAAGGGGCAGGTGTGCAGTGGCCTGCACTATTTCAGCGAAGGCTCCGCCTTCGGGAGCTTTGTGGGAGACCTCGTTAGTGTCAATCCCGAAGGCTTTGTTGGAGGCTTCGGTCTTGGATTGGGCACGAGTCGCTCTTCCCATTTTGGTGAGTGTTTTTGTTTTTCTGAAGGGGAGGATTTCTTACTTGATTATTCGACCTCTCAACGAGAGCACCAAATGATGGATAGTGTACCCGGGGGTAGCTTATCCGAGGGGTTATTACGGTGAATAACCTAGAGAGAAGTTAGAGCAAGTAAGTAAGAGAGAGTCAAATGTATTAAATGAACTCGTTTCTTTACAAGGTGAATAAGAGTTGCTATTTATAGCAGCTATAAATGCGATGAGAGTACACGTGTCAACAATCTAACGGCCGAGGGGTTACCTCAATCGAGGTGGCACCGACATATGCATGTGCACCGCATTAAATGCGGTGGGTGGTGGATGTGACGCCGTATTAAATGCGGTGGTTGGCTGTCTCTAAAAGGAATCTTCGTCGATAGTTCTGTTGCCGAAGGTATCGTGTGGCCGAAGGCATCATGTGGCTGAAGGCATCGGGGGGCCGAAGGCATTTGGTGGCTGAAGGCACTGTGTGGCCGAAGGCATCGGGTGGCCGAATGCATCATGTGGCCAAAGGCGTCGAGGGGGGGGGCGAAGGCATCGGGTGGCTGAAGGCATCGTGTGGCCGAAGGCATCGGGTGGCCGAAGGCTAACATTTTAGCCAGGATTTTCCAGAAGCTTTGCAGGACCATGTTAAGATGTCTCCCAGAATTTGGAGCCCTCGGCCATAGGGCCGAAGGCATCCACGTGTGCAGCGTGGGCTTCTTCATGCTTGGGCTGCTACGTTTGGGTTTTGTGTGCTCATCAGGCTTGATGGGCCTGTGTAGAAGAAGCAGGAGTCTGTGGGCCGGGGTGTCTCGGGCCATATACTCCATCAGTATCAATTTATCTTTTCATTCCTTTCGTCTCTTTCTGCTCAAATTTACTGCGAACTTCCTTGACATTCAACTGCAATTCGTAGCAGGATGGAGCAAGTAGTAATCCTCACTATAAAGTCGGTCTTCATTCTATGAGCTGAAGCCGAATGAATTCTCTTATTCCCAACCTTCAATTCACTGCTCTATTATTGAAGTTTACTGGTTTAACATCTTTCAACTAAAAAATGCAATACAAGAGCAGAAGATATCAATGCTCGTAATACATCATGAACAGGTGAAATATGAATTCTTTCGATTTTGATATTGGCAAATTTACAAACCTTGATTTTTTGTTCTAACGCTGCCTAAACTGGTCCATGGAGCTAATCTCCGCCAAGTATATCACCTAATGACTTCCAATTTCAGATTGCTGTTTCTGAGATTTGGATAGCTATGGAATATTGGTTGATGGAGAAAATAGAAAACAATGGAAATTTTGAAATGGCTGGTGTTCATGGTGAGCCAGACAAAGAAGGCCAGAAGTAGATAGGAAAAATGAAGAATTAAACTTTATTTGAGGAAGAGTAGAGATTGAGTAGTAATAGTGACTAGGGGTGGACCGGGCCTGGTCCGGTTCCGGTTCGGACCTGGGCCCGGCTGGGCTTGGATGGTTTTGGGTAAGACCCGAGGCCGGCTCGGGAGTCTGCCGGTTCCGGGACGGGCCGGTTCCGATTTAATTTCTTTTTTTTTGTGCTTTCTTATTTAGTTCAACCCCCACCCCCCATCACACCCCACCCACCACCCCCCCCCCCCAACCCACCTAAACCCAGCCCAAACCCAAAAAACCAAAAAAAAAAAGCCCAGACCGGCCGGGCCGGCTCACCCTTTTGGAGTCCCGAAACTGCCCCCGGTTACCCCCTCGGGCCGGGCCTGAGCTCGATACCGGTACCGGTCACCCGGGTCAGGCCGGTCCCGCACAGTAGCGGGCCAGGCCGGTTCCCGAGCCGGTCGGACCGGATTCATGGCTAATAGTGACCTATTAAAATGGGGATGAGTAATGAAGGGTATTTAGGAATTAGGATGATTTAATTTGAAGAGTTACCAATAAAGAAGAAACGTAAAACATTTCAAAACGGAAAGTGTAAAATTTTAAATGGGACACGAGTACAGTAAGTTTTCCTAGAGGGGAGTATTCATGTGCGTCCAACCGCACCACATGGCCCATCCGGCCGACGGCTTTTGGCCGCCTTCCCGGTGGAATTTTTTGATGAAATTTTTATAGCATGTTCTTCATCAAGTCTAGTTTATGCACACAAAAAAATCAACTAAAAACTCAATCCGGAAGGTCTTCAAATGATTTTTTGAAGTTAACTGTGCAAAATTACACACAAAAAACGCAGTCTAACTTCAAAAAATCATTTGACGACCTTCCGGATTGAGTTTTTAGCTGAATTTTTTTGTGTATAAACTAGACTTGATGAAGAACATGCCATAAAAATTTCATCAAAAAATTTCACCGGAAAGGCAACCAAACGCCGTCGGCCGGACGGCGCTTCTCCTGTGGACGAACGCACCAGAACAGCCCTCAGTTTTCCTATTCTTACAAAACTGCACATTCAAATACTCATTTAGTGTCCATATCGAAATATAAACCCTATATTTTAAAGTGTAAATGGCACCCCTCTTGTTTGAAACGTTGTAAATGTAATCCTCACCTGCCTTATAAATGCCTTCAATCAAGAAACCATATCTCCAACAATTTGAAGAATTGAGTGACATTTACAAACTTGAAAACACAAAGACAATTTCAATGCGAGTACTATTGAGTATGGATGGACTCAGGCTGGGTCAACCAGCCTGTAACCGGCCCAGCCCAGTAGTATTTCGGCCCGGCCCGGTACCCAGGTCCGTGTCTGATTCGGGCCACCCAGCCCAGTACTGTTTCAGGGCAGAGTCTCCAAATCATGAACCAACCCAGCCGTGCCAAGCCCAGTTCCGGGTGTTTTGAAGGGGTTTGGCTGTTTGGGGTGTGAGGGGCGGAGGAGGGTAGGAAGTAATTAGAAAATCAAAAAAAATGTAGCCAGCCCGAACCGGACACAATAGCTACCCAGGCCGGTTCCGGGCCTCAAGAATCCAGAAAAAAGTCCGGTCAGGCCTGGCCAGAGTCCATGCCTACTATTGAGGGGTGAAAGTGTGATTTCCCATCATTTTTCTCATTATTTGAGAATTTTGTCAAAGAAGATGCAGAAGACCTAAAAGTATTAGTACTTCCTCTCCGGCAATACAAGACCATAAATGTCCAAGAAAACATTAGTATTATGCAGTCCAAGAAGTGCAGCAGCATTTCTAATTGTAAAAGGAAGCCACGTGAAAATTAAAAAAAAAACTCAAACTAAAGGTAATGAGACAATGCAGAAAGCAAATCCAAAAGTTGATACAAAGCATTAACGGTAGCGACGGAGAGAGAGGGTCTGGTTCCTCTTCCAAGTGGCCCTGCGTGAAGGGCGAGCTTTGTGATACTTGGATCCTTTTCCTCCGAGTCCTCTGTTTTTCTTCCCTGCTGATGTCAGACCTCTAAGTTCTCTGTGCTTGTGAACAGGATTGCAAAGCCAGTTGATCCTTGGATCATTTCGGATTGCAGCATGGGCTTGATCAACCAATATGACTTCATAGTATTTGTATGTTGAGTCCTAAATATTCAGGAATTACTGCATTAGTATACAGCTGGAAGGAACATGTTGTAAACAGGTGCCCATCTGTTTCAAGGATTATAACCTGTCTAAAATTTACGAAAAATGTTTTCCATGAAAACATTTACACTCTATCTGAACCAAAAAAGGCAGGGCAAAGGGGAAAATACTGCATAATGAAGAAATTGGTTTTTATATTCCTCTATTTACCTCAAACCTTGGGGAATGTTCATGAAATCAAATATTAATAGAAATTTTTAATACACTTGAGGAATGAGATAATCAACAGGTAAGAGTAGCACCTATTGAATATAAGATGCAGAAAATTCGATAAAGGTGATTTGGTCATGTACGTAGAAGACCGATTGTTAGACGAGTTGAGAGGTGTGAGGATGAGCAATGGGGGAGAGGAAGAGGGAGACCCAAATAGACTTGAACTAAAGGAGTTAGAAGTGATATGTTTCTTAGTGTGTTAAATGAGAGCATGACTTTGGAGGGAGAGGGAGACCAAAACAGACTTGAACTAAAGGAGGATTGATTTTTTCTCTTTTTTTAACCTTTTATTATTTTCTTTTTACTTTCTTAAGTTCTTTATACTTTTATTTTTTGATCTTAAAAATATTATTTTCCATCCTTTTTATCTTAACAAGTTTATCTTCATCATATATCCAAGGTTCAAAATTGCGTATTGCGTAGCCGTGGCATTTTTTTATTATCGCATATTGCGTAAGCCTCATTGCGCAATGAGGCGTATGCGTGAGGCGTAATATATATACATGTGTGTATATATATTAACAAAATTTTAATACTAACCTCACAACCAAGGTAGTCAAAGTCGAAAGGCGCACTTGAAGGCTTGAAGCGCTAGGGGCTCCCAGCACAATTAAAGCGCTCGCCTGACTCGGGTGAAGCACATTACTTATAAAATATCAGATATACTATTCGATAATTACCAAATATGATGTATGTAACATCATATTGAACCAAATGCATAAAACAAAGCTGAGTATTTTATTTAGATTATAATGAGACAGTTTTTCAAACGTACGATACTATCTAGTGATCAACCTAGTGACATAAAATCAGAAATTAATGATAAAAAACTGATAACTGTTTGTGTTTGGTGTGACTTGTGATGAAAGCATGAAAACCTAGGATTACATTTTTGGAAAAACACAAAGCAGAGTATTATATACACATTACAGTGTACTACTACTATATTACGATTAGTATTATACACATAGTATGCTAGTAATATAGTTATATACCAATAACTCATAAGTGGTATAATAGTATTATTAGTTTATTACACATTAAGACAATAGTATTTAGATACTAGTGTAGTATGAGTATAAGACTATATGTCTATATGAGTCTAAAATATTGGATGAAGAGGACTGCATTAAAAAAAACACATACCTTATTTAGAGCTGTGAGGAAATCGAGGTTGCTTGAGAAGAAGAAGAAACTGAGGAGAGCGAGTAGACTGAATAGCGATGTTTAGTGACTCGAGGTTTAGCGAGAAAACTTGGTTGTTTACGCTGGGTTTTACATCTTTTCAGACGTGACTTTAAAGGGGTTTTATGCGGGTTTTACTTGTTTTACCGTGTTATTTAGATGGGCTGAGTGTTATTACATATATGGGCTAATTACTTTTGAAAGTTTTAAAGAAAACAAAAGGCTGTCAGCCTTATTCGAACCAGGCGACCCAAGCGAGCGACTTATTTCGCTTCTGCGCTTAAGCTGCGCCTAACCCATCTGCGTGCGCCTCCCCTTCTCCCAAGGGCTGGAGTCCTTGCTCGCTGCGCCTGGTGCGCTTAAGCGACAAGGCGCACGCTTATGACTACCTTGCTCACACCTAATATAAAATATTAACTTTCCGCAATATTAACTTTACAGAATATTAACAAAAAACTGAATATTAACATAAAATTAAAATAATGTTAAGAGTAATATTAATATTTAATATTAATATTAAAATTAAGGTAGTATGTAATATTAACTTTCTGCATCAAATACAATGGAAAACATTGAAGTTAACATCACTACTTGAAAAATAATATCAACCATTAAATGAGGTGCCTAAAAGCTGGAAACATCACCGCCTATGGCAACACGGTTGAAGAAGCAGGAACACAGGTCTTTTGCTTGAGAGTCCTGTGATGCGCAGATGAAGAACTGGCAACACAGGTCAATCTTTCGCAGATGAAGAACTGGCAACACAGGTCAATCTTTTGTATGCCGAAGAGTTAAGCAGTATGCGAGACTTGGAATTCTGAGTCGATCGGCAATAGGCGACATGTACTACCGAGTGATTTATGGATTAAAACTTAAAAACTGGGCTCTATCAGGCTTATCAGCCCACATATATTCTTAAACACCTATTGCGAACGCCTCAAGGTGCTCGGTTGCGCAAACGATTGTGTACACCTCTGCACCATATAACGTAAGATAAAACACCTCCGCCTTTAGCCATGCAATTTTGTGCCATTCTACAGAAATTGGGTGAGGCGCGCCTCATTGCGTAATTGCATTGCGCAATTACAAACAATGCATATATCATCTTCACTTTTATCTTGTTGTATCTATCTTTTTGTCATACCTTCTCTTTTTATCTTTCTTTTCTTGTGCCTCCAATACCATATTACCATGTATCAATTGATGTTAGCCTACTCAATTATCTTTTGGACCAAGGCTTAGATGTTGTTGGTGTTGTATTAAAGAATTCAAAATAAAGAGATCGACACATGTATAAATCTGATTTATTGAGTTTCAATCTTGTACTTTCCTTCACCTTTTCGTTCATTACAAAATTTCCTCTATTTTCCTCCCTACCTCCCCCCGGCATTTCCTCAGATCCAAACTGAGCTAGAGGTTCTGTTTTCCTTCTAAAAATATGTCCACAGTGAAGCAGAGGAAAAACTTAAACATTTTCTAAAAGCACATTTCCACATAGCAAAACGAGCCTTGACACTACAAAAAGAACTATGAGCAAACCTCATTGATCCAGTAGGAGTTCAGAACCCGGAGGCCCCCAAGTTTTCTCCCAGCTCGCTCTTCTGCAACTGATCGTTTACTCCTCTGAAACTTCAGCTGAGTAACTCCCTGATTTGTTGGTTTTCCATAAACAATACCCTTTGGAACTGGTCTTTTTCTACCTCCACGTCTCACCCTCACTCTATAAATGACGTACCCCTGATAAGATTAACAAATCTGTCAGCAAATGAAAATGGGATATATTTTAACGACATCAAAATAAAATAAAAAATACTTCAAGACAATTCTATCAAAAGTTTCACTAGAGAATATACATGCAAAGACACACAATATTCTGAGAAAACAACTTGCTTGACAACTAATGTATAGATATAGTTGTTTTCAAATCATTTGAGAGAATTGATTAAAAAAAAGTATCAATTTACATAGTGTAGAATCCATCAAAATTTCAGTTATCGACAGAGAATTAATGTAAACAACTAAAAATGCACAACAAGTAACTAGAGTACAGGCAAGCCAAACAAAATCAAGCCTTTTCTTGATGGAGGGATAAAGGAATTAGGAACAGGTTGAGCTACTTCTCTGAGAGGACAATTGAAACACACATCCAACCTCTTCAAGTTATTGCACACTCACTCAGTAGTCCCACTAATCTAGTTTGTGCGAAAGTAAAACCTTTTTTAAGAGCTTCCTAAGAAAAAACTCCTGCTCAAACAGGTATGTATCTAAATCAAAGGATCTTTGAATAAATGAAAAGCAAGCGCTATAAATTCTAATAGTGTTCTTGTTTGGTATCACCTCTTTATTTTGTGGACATACACACTTTTCAGAATGATCGTGTAAAATATACCATTAGAATGCCTTTCATAAATACACCAATGAAGATACTTTTCTAAGACTTGTAATAAATATATCAAATTGAAAGTAGCTATAAGTAGTGACCTAGGCCTAAAAAAGAGATGCGTAGGAAATGTTATTCATCTCCTTGACTATTTAACTATCACACACTGAAATTAAGAAATGGCATGCCCATGAACATATTAAAAGTCATTGATTAAACAAATAAAAAACGACCAGGAGAAATGGAAATCCAGAGTGATAATAGATAAACCATATTATAGACCAATATACCCCGATTAATCAGGACTCATACACAACATAAGCAATATGACGTATACAAACGCATATTCGATAACGATTGCTCACAGCATACCTGTTTGGCCTTGTAGCCGAGGCGGCGAGCCTTGTCAGGACGAGTGGGCCTCCTGACGCGAACAAGTGAAGGAAGCTGCCGATACTCCCAGCACCTCACCCGAAGCAGGAACCTCATCACATCAGATTGCTTCTTCCTCCAAAGCTCCGAAACATACGTGTATGCACCTGAAATTTTTCAAATCAAAACAACAAAAACAAAAAGATGTACTCATCAGTAACGCAGTCAAGCCCCGTCATCGACTTAACGACAAGCGTAGATTTCTCATGAGGCGACGTACCCATCGTCGATGCAGATAGATGGGCAGTGCCGCAGCAGCAACTCCGATAATGTTTTGTCAGAGAGTTTATATGCTAGGCCTTTAGGGTTGATAAGAATGGCACCCTTATCTTTTCTGGCCCATATTAGATTCTGGGCTTATATCATCTCAGCATCTCAATTGGATTGGACTCAAATGTCAAGCTTTCTAATTTTAAACTTGAACATAAGAGCATGTTTTGGTGATCCTGTTTTTCAGTTCATCAACCAATTTTTTCACCAAATACGTAGTTTTTAATTTCGTCCGTTGAATTGTGTAATAATAAGATTGAAGTTAATTTTCTGACTATATTGACTAAATTTTACAGTAAATGATGATTTTAGTTATTTTTCATGTAATTTTTTATTTAATATATAAGGTCTTGTCGAAATGATAAGAGGATTTCATTTAATCCTTGTTGGCGAATTAGATGGTCTTCCTGAACATGCTTCTTATTTGGTAGGTAACTAGATTCTCACTCATGGGATGCACGAATGAAAATTTACCAATGTGTGATTACAAAATCTATTATAGAAATGCATAAACAATTGAATTTAGAATGAAGTGATAAGTAATATGATAAGTGTTTATAGTTAAAGAGAGACTAAAACATCGTTGAGGAACGAAAAACGTATATATTATAAAAGAGATGTAACATTTGAAACTACAAATTACCATTTGTTTTGTCTGTTAAAATATTACCGATTCCTTCGTCTCGAGTCGGTGTCGTGCATTTTGAAGAACTGAAACCAATTTCGACTGGTCGAGAAGAGTGGTTATTATCGACCCTATAGTCAACATTTTCTGTAGAATAATACAACAAAACACAAATTTATTTATTTTAATTTAAAACACAATTTTGTTTTTAAAAATAAAAAACACAAAATATATATAAAAAATTGTTACACTGAAGCACAATATGAAAAAATTAGCTTCATTATTATAAGTAAATAAGTAATAAATAATAAATATTTAAATAATTAAATAATTATTACAAATTTAATTTTAAAAAATGGTCATTAAAATGAATGATTGATGAACCGTGATAAAACATCAACAAAATATGGAAACTTATTATTAAAGTAAATAAAAATCTCAACAAATTATTTCGGCCTAGCTAAGATCAATGAGACAACTCAATTGAAACCCACCCCAACAAAAAATGACCTAACAACCCATTTTAAAATCACCATTGAATACCTAAGCTACCCAACCAACCCCATCACCCATGTATATAATCCCCCTTTTGACCGACACCTATTGTACCCTCCCCATTCTAAAGACTCGTCGGCTACAGCTTGAGAGTGATGGTCTCCAAACCTTTCCACCTATCCTACTCTTGTCGATTTCATCTGTACTCATAACGCATTTTTCGGCCGCTTGAGTACGTTTGTTTGATTGTGGCCGTAATCGAGTTACTGAGACGTGACGTTAACCGACCTCATGGTTATCACCGTCTATGGATTCCACCTCTACTCCGACCAAAATAAAAGTTGTAATGATTGCATCTCAGTCGTTTGGTATATATCTTTACCTATATTTTGTCCTCAATCCTTCTTGGAATATATTGTTTTCGTGGACATCATTCTTGAAATATAATGTTTTCATGATCGTTTTTCTTGAAATATATCGTTTTCGCGCACACTACATGCCTATTTTACCAATCTTTATGCCTTGTTTTAGATTGTTTCAGCAAACGGTCATTTTTCAAAATGCATGTCTTGTATTAATCGATATACGTTAATTCACGAAACGATTTTGAAAAACATTACGAAGATCTGTAAGTCAGTTCATTTCTTGGTTGAGGATGAATAAAATTGTATCGGCTATGTTCTTTGGAGGGCAGATCTGGAAAAACAATAGATCTTTGTTTTAATGACCCATGCACATGTTTTTTTGTATTGGTGTCGGTAAAGTGATTTCTTTTATGTAAAGTGACAAATACGTACTCTTATATCTAAGTATTGAGATTTAAGGTACAAATTGTCATACACCTCAGCGGGTGTTGGGTTAATAGACCCGATAGCCGCTCAGCCCATTACCCACTGAACATGGGGGCCATCAAGGTCCATCTCGGGTACGGTCCAGCAGGACTTAGTAGACGCTCGTCGGATGGACCTTGGAGAAGATAACGCTCGTCCTCTGCCCACAAAGGGCCAAACGGCATTGCGGACCCTCGGCTTCAGTACACACCGGCCATACGGTTCCTCTTCCTTACAGGATTCTAGGCCCAATCCGGCCATGGTCCACCAGGATGCCGTCAAGATGCTCGGCCTCAGCGGCATTTGCCCAACGAGTGCCAGATAACAGTCTAGAGCCCTCGGTCAGGGAGCTGACATGAGCCGCGCGGAGCCGAGCCCCTATACCTCCAGATCTAGGAGCTCAGATCAGTGGACGCTCGTCCAGGGCCCATGGCGGGAAACCAAGATATTGGAGGGAGGCGCATTTAATGCAGTAGATTTGGTAGTTGGGAAGCCAGTCATCCACAGCCATCCACATCACCAACCCCACCTACCCCTTGGTAGTATAAATAGTTGCATTTATTTCCTTGTAAAGGGTTGACAACTTATTACTCTTAGCAGATAGCAATTATCTTAAGCTCTTAGCATTGAGATAGACGAACGGTCTTGGGGCTAGTAGTTGAAGTGTGTTGTATATAATCTCTTATTATCATTTACGGAGTAATAAGATGTGACCCACTTACTACTGAATATCAGATCCATCATACTTGTTTGCTTCTTAATCCACAAAACTCTCCACTCGAAACTCAAAGGAAAAATGTTGGGCTTTTGGGTTGAAGGAATAAACCTCAAAACAGGTTTTGAGATAGAATTGATGTTTATAGATAATAGAAACATCTTTGTATCTTGCTTGCCTTTTGATAAGCCTATTTTTTAACCCGGAAGGCAAACCACTAAAATCAGTGGGGTAAATGTCGGGAAACATTGACCAGTATTTTATTAATAAAATTTAGATGATACACGAAGAGAGGGGGGAGTAGACCAATACCCCTTTGGAGAAGGCATACCTTCTGAGAATACAACAACAGGAAGATGAAGAGACTGAGATTTGGGGGCTAGGTCTGACCCAATCTGTTACACAACACTCAACAGAAAAATAAATAAAACAAAGTAAATAGCTAATCAAAAAGAAAAGGGCGGTTACTTATGTTAAGCCAACTTCGGTAGCAGTTTTATTTACTGCCTCGTGTTATATGATTTAAACCGATTAAATACATAACATATACATGGTACTATTTTAATTATATATTATTTATATGACTTACTTATATAGTTATATACTTGTATACATTTATAATTGTTACATTTATATAATTTTATAATATTTATATAGCTTTCTTATATATGTATATACATTATACATTTATGACCGTTACATCTATATAACATACATATGTAGTTATATACTCGTATACTATGTGTGTGTGTGTCGGATCAGGTGAGAGGTGTTCTTAGCCTGAGAACTGCGAAGTAATTCAAAAAGTTCTAAAAGTTAAACATTTGGCTTTATAAGTTATGTTTAACGTATTAATAGTTTATTAGGACATATATGTCTTGGTAAATAAATAAATAGATTTTTGATAAATATTTTTTTGTAAATATTTTTCAACCACTACTAGTGTTTTTCTTTGTAATCTCATACTTCCTCAATTTATCACTATAAAATTATACTTTTGATTTAGAGTTGTTGGATTTATAAGTTATGATTTATGTTATATAAGTTAACTTATTGTCTCTATTAGTTAACTTATTGATAGAGTATATAGACTCGGACCCCCAGGTCTCACGACTATTGGACCCGGACAGCGGCCCACATACGCTCAGTAGATAGCATTTATTTCGTTGTACATTCCATTTTATTCATGTATACCCGTTAGAATAGATTAAATACCATTTGTTAGCCATTTATTGGCCTTTTATTGTAAATGGGCCTTCCAGGCCTAAGCCTGGAAGCCCAGCCCACTTTTCTCCTATAAATACTCCCTAAGGGAGTCATGTAAAGGGTTAGAAATTCATTATATATATCACTTTATCTCTCTAGCTCTCCCTTTATATGACGATCGGCTTCATCAGCACCTCGTCATCATATTATAGGACCGGCTCCTCATCGCCGTCGTCCTCATATCACGACCGACCCCCTCGGCCTCGGCGTGATTATCTATCTCAAGACCGGCTTCCTCAGCGCCGCGAGTCTTGAGCTAGCGATCGGGCTCGCCATCCCTTCCCGGATGGTGACCATCGCCTTTATATGACGACCGGCTTCATCAGCGCCTCGTCATCATATTATAGGACCGGCTCCTCATCGCCGTTGTCCTCACATCACGACCGGCCCCCTCGGCCTCGGCGTGATCATCTATCTCAAGACCGGCTTCCTCAGCGCCGTGAGTCTTGAGCCAGCGATCGGGCTCGCCATCCCTTCCCGGATGGTGACCATCGCCTTTATATGACGATCGGCTTCACCAGCGCCTCGTCATCATTATAGGACCGACTCCTCATCGTCGTTGTCCTCACATCACGGCCGGCCCCTCGGCCTCGGCGTGATCATCTATCTCAAGACCGGCTTCCTCAGCGCCGCGAGTCTTGAGCCAGCGATCGGGCTCGCCATCCCTTCCCGGATGGTGACCATCGCCTTTATATGACGATCGGCTTCATCAGCGCCTCGTCATCATTATTCGGACCGACTCCTCATCGTCGTCGTCCTCATATCACGACCGGCCCCCTCGGCCTCGGCGTGATTATTTATCTCAAGACCGGCTTCCTCAGCGCCGCGAGTCTTGAGCTAGCGATCGGGCTCGCCATCCCTTCCCGGATGGTGACCATCGCCTTTATATGACGATCGGCTTCATCAGCGCCTCGTCATCATATTATAGGACCGGCTCCTCATCGCCGTTGTCCTCACATCACGACCGGCCCCTCGGCCTCGGCGTGATTATCTATCTCAAGACCGGCTTCCTCAGCGCCGCGAGTCTTGAGCTAGCGATCGGGCTCTCCATCCCTTCCCGGATGGTGACCATCGCCTTTATATGATGATCGGCTTCATCAGCGCCTCGTCATCATAATATAGGACCGGCTCCTCATCGTTGTTGTCCTCACATCACGGTCGGCCCCTCGGCCTCGGCGTGATTATCTATCTCAAAACCGGCTTCCTCAGCGCCGAG